ACTGGTACCGGGAAACTTGCGCACACAAGTCGATGATCGATTTGACAATCGTATCGTCTGACCTAAGTCGCTCAGTAATGGATATTCGTGTTGAAAGAGCGCAGAACAATCAACCTATCACCACCTTGTTGTTGCCACGATACGCTTTAAAAAATAGAGTACCATGCGAAAACCTGGTGGCAGAAGCAACCGGAGAACTAAATGGGAAACATTATCTTCGGTGGACACGAAAGCGAAATTTGCAAACAACATCGCACGACGGTTTGTACAGGTCCCAATGATGACAACTGATACTGAAACCGAGTGGAAACTCTTTAAGAGCGACATATTCGAGGCTGCCTGCGAATGCTACCGATTTAAACGGGTTTGCCTGCCGCTAGAGGTCAGAAAAGATCTTCTTGGTGGACACAAGAAGTATTACTGGCAGTTAAAGAGAAAAAAGCAGCGTTCACGAAATGGCTTGGAAACAAAGAGCTTCTACTCTCTTGCGATATGTCCAGCTACGCAAGGAGGCAGCGAAAGCAGTGGCGAGAGGCAAAGCTAATTCCTGACAGAAGTTCGATGAGGTATTTTAGTCTATTTTCCACACGGCGAACAAGGTATTCTGACATACCACCGTCTGGCTCCGAGGTGTAAAGAAGAGCAGTGCAAGAGTCTTGAAGAACAAGTCTGGACACGTTCTTGCTAAGGATGACGACATTTTTCGGCCATGCAGAGAGTACTTTGAGGAACTCCTTAGCGCCGCGCAACAGCAGGAAGACTCGCCTGTAGAGCAGAAGGGTATGGATATTACTGTCTTTGTAGATGAAATTAGAGAGACTGTGGAAAGCCTAAAAATGGTAACGCTGCTTGAACTGAAGAAATCGGCCCTGAAATGCTCAAGGCATTAAAGGAACAAGACATGTGCTGGCTTAGACGTGTCTGTCAAGCTGCGATGACTGCTCGAAAGACACAAGGGAACTGGTGAATGGAAAATATTGTACCCGTTTTCAAGAAGGGAGACCACAAGGAATGCTCCAATTATAGGGTCATTACGTTATTGATCCTCCCAGACAAAGTCTACGCAAAGGTGTTGGAAAAGAGGTGCCACGAAATAAACGACCTCAAGATACGGGAAGAGCAATGTGGCTACCTGTCCGGTCGAAGTACCTCTGAGAATATATTTGCCTTGCGCCAGAACGCTGAGAAATCGAGGGAGTATGACCGTTCGGTGTACATGCGTTTTGTTGACTTAAAAAATGTCTATGGCCGGATTCCACGCAGCTGTCTCTGGTCATTTCTGCGAGCATACAGAGTACATAGCAAGCTGCTAAAGGTCTTCCAATTATCGTATGCTGGTAGCAGGTGCTGCGTCAGGGTAAATCGCATCAGGGTAAGTCCCAGCCCTTCTCTGCCAAGATTGCGTCCTGTCCCGTCTCCTGTTTGGGTTGTACATGGGTAAAATAGTCAGTAGCAGCCAAGGCGATCAGGGTATCGGTGTAGGAGATGTGAAGTCGAGAAGGTTGCTGTTTGCAGACGACCTTGTTTTATTAGCATC